ACCCCATTAGGGGGCAAGCTCTCCCAGCGCCTGTTTCTCCATCCACAATTAAAATTATTACTTGTTAAATTAGTCATTAATGTGGTTAATTATTCTAATTGGTTAAATATCTAAAATGCATGATCCCTAGCCTTTCTATTTTATCTTGTAATAACCTTAAAGGTTTCAATTGTATTGAAATGCTTCTTAAACTTATTCGTTTTAATGATGTGACAATTTTGTAAGACTTATAATTAAAAATTAACTTTTTATTTTAATTACGTGACATTTATGTGGCCTATTATAAAATAGTTGCATTATTATTTTTAGAATGGTAACAAACAAATTATATCAATTAGTTTGAATCACTAGCCATAAAAAAATAGTTAAATCAAAAAGGAACAACGGAAATGTGGTATTATATACAGTTTACAAATTCATCATTATTTATATAATAAATAAAATAAAAAATTAGGTTTCATCCCAAAAAAAAAAAAAAAAAAGAGAGAGAGAGAGAGTAGGTTATTTAGGTATGTTAAGTATAATTATGGTTTTTAGTTTTGGTCTTCAAAATTCAAACAATCAAAATTTAAAATTAAAAAGTAAAAGTAAAAATTAAAATTACCGACTTAGTGGGTATAAAATTTAAAAATGAATATCCGAAACTCTAAATTTATTCAATTTATAAAAATTCTTAATTTGATTTTACGATTTCTAAATTTTTTATTTTCAATGGTTGCAAAATTTTCAGAAACCAAAATTAAAAATGCAAAACCAAAACCATAGTATAGTTATAATTTTTGGTTTAAATAAATTAACTCAAATAACCAAATATGTAGCTTTAGTTAGCAGTTGAGTAAGCAAATTTTGCAACTACTGAAAAAACTAAACTAAAGATAAAAAAAACTAACAATTTGCTTAAGAAGAATTTTAATTCTAACTACAAAAAATATATATATACTAATAGTATTAAACTATTTTTTTATTTTTTAATAATTTTGATAGTATGCTATAAAAACACATGAAAGTAATTGTAGGTTTAATTTTTAATTAGAGTTGTAAATTTTATAAAAAATCAAAATAAAAAATAAAAAATCATAACCATGCCAAACAAAGCTTTAGTTGAGTCAATGAATTTGACAATAGTATTTTGATTATTTAAATAAAGCTGATTAATAACCATGCTGATAATGGACTCAAATAAAATTTGTTGAATATGGTTTTTATCTAGATTAAACCGAAGCAAAACAAAAACAGAAAAAAAAAAAAGCTTAAGATTTCACTTAATTTAGTTATAATTGAATTAGGCTCAAAGCAACAGATTATATAAAAAGGTGGACTATAGAAGTTAATAGGTTAATGATTTGTATCTACTTTTTTTTATTTTATATACTTTAACTAAAAGAACTTTGATTTGGAGTTAAGGTAAAAGTTTAAAACATCTACCATAACAAGCAGTTAGTCCTTCAATGTACTAAAAAATATGTTTATATTTCAACAAAAACTTACATGAATCAAAAAATGTGGTTAATTCTTCTTTCCTCTCTTTTTTTTTAAGGTAAGTAACATGAATAACCTTAACTTGTTTAATTTGTAACTGTTTGATTGAGACTTTACAACTTAATTTAAATCTTCCTCTATATCTGTACTTATGTATGTTTTGTATAATTTGCAACCATTGCCTTGGGTGACAATGCTAAGCTTGAGGTTGGCTATATCTATGTGGGTAATACTGCACTTCATATTATCTCTGGTACACTCATGAAAAAAAGATCATACTAGGTGTATACTACTGTCTAATATAGAATAATAACAACAAAAGAGTAATATTAAAAAGGTTTGCATTTCATTGAGCCTTTTATGTGCAATTCACCTTATATATTATCTTTCTTTCTTTTTTGGTAAAAACCTTATATATTATCTCTACTAATTCATAAACTCGGCTTATCAATAAAATATATTTTTATCTTTTATTTTACCGGCAAATGTTTTGGGATGCTTCAATTGCAGAAAGGAGTTCCGCGAAGGAGTATGAGTAGCAAGCAACTTGGTTTGGAGAGGATGAACAAGGCATTAGTGTGTTGTTATTTATGTGATAAGTAATAATTTTATTTATATAAATTTTATTTAAAAAAGATTTTATATACATAAATAAAATATAAATAAATATTAAATTTATTATAAAAAATTAAGTACGGGCGCCATGTTCTCCTTTCATGAATGGACGGGTGACGCAGTTGCTTGTGCATTGGAGGTGAGGAGGCATAAAAAGGAACTAAATAAGTATTTGAAGCTGAAACAGGGTCATATATGATCGGCAGTGGGGCTTGATTCCTTTTGGCTGATGTGTTTTTATTATAAATGATGTCAGTTTTGTTAAGTTTTTATTAGGATGGTTTAGTTTTTTATTATGTAAAAAGATTGGAGTACCCTTTATATTTTTATTAATAAATTATTTTAATTTGTTGATAAAAAAATTATAAAAAATTAAATTACTTAAAGAGTTAAATTTTAAAATTTATTTATTTTAATTAAAATTTAAAAATTTAATCAAAATTTTAAAATAAATTTAATAACGTAACGTGAGATTTTACCTTACTTTTCGCGCAGGATTCACAATGGCTTCTCTGTCTTTCCTCAGATATTTTTCTCTGCCTGGGGATTCCTTTCACTCTTGTCAATACCAGGGGCGGAGGGTCTGGAGATTAGAGCTCACCTCAACGTGAAATGTCTCCTGGATATTTATGGTGTAGTGGTTAAAAAAAAACAATAAATTTACTAAATATTTGTTCTAAAATAATTTAAATAAAACAAGTGTTTGTTGTACTGAAAATAGTGCATATATACCAAAATTAAAATTAAGATTTTGGTTCTAATCCTTACAAATCTCCCTCTCTCAAATTTCTTCATGTTTAAAAAAAAAAAAGGAAAATTAATATGAAAGAATATCAAAGGAAAAAGCAAGAATAAAATAGAAGATCTAAATGTTATACATGCAAATTTAATAGATAAAATTGAAGAAAATAATAATGATAATTAAATTAAACCAAGCAAATTATAAATAGCAACA